AGCAAATTCACCAAGTGTTGGATGGTTCACTCACTAATAGGGAACGTGAGGCAGGTTAGTTTTACCCGACTGATGACGTGTTGTTGCAAATATAATCCTGCTCTGGGTAATTCTCTTTCCCAGGAAGTTTTATTCAAAGACCAGATATTTTAGTGCAATTAAAATAAAGTGTCATCCTTTTCTGAGCAAATCCTTCGAAGTTACTGCCAATAGCAAAACACTTTGAAATTTTTCCAGTTGGAGTTTTTTGCAAATGTGCTTCATAAGTTTATATTTTGTTGTTGGCAAAGACAATATTATTAGCTTACCGTTAATTTAGATGTAATAATAATAATAATGCATAATTTTTTATAGTGCTTTTTTGGACACTCAAAGACGCTTTACACATGTCATTATTCTTTCACTCCATACACAGTGGTGATAAACATCTTCTGTAGCCACAGCTGCCCTGGGGCATACTGAAAGAATCGAGGCAACCAGTATGTGCCATCGGCCCCTCCGACCACCACCAACCATTCACAGACAGAACAGACTCATTCTAGGCCCCACTGTGGTATCAGGTGTTCCCAGAGGTTAAGTCTTGCCAAGGACACAACAACAGCAGACAGTCGATGAGGTGGGCTCAAGGTGGGCTCGAACCCACGACCTTCTGGCCTAAAGGCCAATGCTCTACCAACTGAGCTACTAACGCCCTATTTCAAACTATTAAGCATAGCATTCACTACCAATCATGATCTCTGGCATAATCTCCTCAGTCACAGCCGCAGATCTAAAGATGTTCACTTGGACAATGTGTGATAAATGAGCCGGACCACACTTGATCTTTCTTCTCCATTCTCTTTTTCTTCTTTTTTATTGCTGAGTTGTGATTTGGAACCATCCTGAATCAGCCCGTAGTCTTATGGGTCTACCACACCATCTGGGAGAGCAGATGATAACCACGTTTTTGTGTAAAAGTGCTGAGATACAGGATATGTCATTCCTGGTTGTGTTCAGCAATTCTAAATCATCCGTTTTGCTTTACAGGTGGACCTATAGGAGACACACTGGCCCGCGTTCATCCTTCATGCTTAAGAAAAAAAAAACTAAAACTCTGCTCAAGTTAGTCCCTTCCGCCTTAAGCTGCTTCGAGAGGGGGTAAAGGCATTTGGTGGTGTCTCGGGTTCAGAAAAGGATGACACTTTATTTTATTTCTCGGGTTGTTCAGCCTCTCGAGGAAACACCGCTAAGACTGATTTGTAGTGTATCACTGAAAAGGAATAAGTGGCGTTCATGTACATCACAACACTCCAAAGAGCTTATTCTTTAGAATTTTGGAGGAGGGCTGGTGGTAAATATTGCCTGATAACTATGGTAACTGTCAAAAGTCAGATTTTGCTATTTTCTAGCTATGTTCTACCCTCTTATCAACATGAGACGAAGACTGGACACATATCAGCTGTAGTCTAAATTCTGGTGACAATATATATATATATAATAAATACATGAATACATTAAAAAACCTATACGCAATGATGACCAGAAGGAAGAACTTTCAGACACAAAAATAAGATGAGGCTGAGAATTTGAATCTAATTTCATATAACAATCTAGGAAAACATTTATTTGACTTATGGAAAGAAAAATCTCATGTGATGGCTATTTAAAAAAGCATAGATAAAAGTATGATTGAAAAAAGGATTGCGTCTGCCCTACAATTGAACACTACCTATTCACATGGACTAATGGCTAAAACCTAGGATTTGAGAAGGATAATGATTTTTAATATAAATGCACACACAAAAAGAAAAACAAAGGAACACAGGATTTGCTTTTGCTGCCAGGCACAGAGCCATCTGGAAGACAGGCATGAGGCCAACTGGAAGACATTAAGTCATGAGTGTCATCAACCATGACAATCATGTCACTACAATAGCATGCCCATTCATTCTCCAATCCACTATAATGGACATGGGACAGTTGTGGGTAAGCACTGCATTATGGGATTAAAAACAGGACTGTAAAAGCATATGGTGGATTTTCTCATTTTAAATTGGCAAAAAATTAAGAAATCCAAAATGGAAAATGCCAAATGCTGTTTATTTTGTATGCTGTTTTCTATGTATGTATAAAATATGTCTATAGATGGTATTTATGGACAACATTTTTGATAATTGTATGAATTGAGACTCAAATAGAAATCCACGTCCAGATTGGGCATTGATTTTCTTCGGGCATCTCATTGTGAACTTTGTATTCTCTGCATCATTGTACACGCTGAATGAATACATGTTGATTCAATTCAACTCTATCCTTGACTCACGCTTCAATAGAAAACAGTCAAATAATCTTTCTTTTTCATGACTTCAAAACATGTCTCCACAACTTCAAATACAATCCAAAATTCAGTTTAGTTTTCCCAGTATACAGACCACAAAATCAACAGCATTTCTGTAGGAAGAAGGTGTTTTTTTAATTTTATGTGGGATAATCTTTTGGCTCACTCTGTCCTTTCTTCTTTCACACGGTCATATTTCCGCCACATTGACCCTGCACGCTCCTGCAAATGTAAAAAGGACTCCGTCAATAGCAAAGCAATTAGTGCATCGATAACAGCCCTTTCATTTTTTATATATTCACAAGAAATGGGATATCTTATCGGACCGGAGGATATTCAGTATTCACAACATTTCTATGCATATTTAACTTTGCTGTGCTTTGGACCATTGCTTCATGTAATGCACAATGTACTCATTCAGACATCATTTTACATATAAGCTGCCCTCATTCCACTGTTTTACATGTGTTAGCAGTGTTGCACAAGGACAATGTCAAAAATATACTGTAACATGGACTTATCATTATAATGTAAAAACTGCGATCCATGCAAAAATTGTTTACCGACTGGAAACTTATCCAAACCAGAGGACAAAGGAGCAAGGAAGACTTTATTCAGGTTGTTTTGTTCCTATACTGGGGCATCCTGACAAAGGCTGTAACGAATAATAATTACTTTTAGAATATTTAGTAAATCTATAATCATTAACGGCCCTACTATACAGACTCCAAACATGTATGTGAGAAGAGAAATGATAGGGCAATGATTACAAACAATATCATGGTTTTGGAAAACAAAGAGAAAAAGGTCAGAGGCACTAAAACAATAATTCAATTCATCTATTTTTGTGGAGACATTGCGAAATAAGGCAACTTGTTACTTACGTGGCAATAAAAATGATTCTGATTCTGAATCTAAGTCTTGTGATTTCATTGTGATTTCTTTTGTTATCCTTGTATGCACTCATTCCTCTTATAGTTTTGCTAATAACATGATTTTGTCTGAAAAATCAATTCTCTTAGGATGTGGTTTCTCTTGAGCTTTTTCATCTTCAAATATAGATATGTTTAGATGTCTTTGTTCTTTAAAAAATGTCATAATCACTTGAGATTGCCATTCACGAGTGCTCAAGATTCCTGGTAAAGCAGTGAAATAATTACATTTGGAACAATAAGATAAGATAAGTTTATTGATCTCACACTGGAGAAATGTACACGTCACAATTTCACAATGGGCATAGACAGAATCACTCAGGTTGCAACCATGTTAAAGGTTAAAAATAATAGTTCGTTCAGGATATTATTACGTACAATAATAAACTGACTATTTCCATGTTTGGACCCTTGTTATGTTTGTACTATCTATAAAGCATTATTAATCCAGCATTCCCTTTCTCAAAAGTATAGTCTGGTATATAACATTACAATGGACGCTTGAAAATACAAATACAAGCAGAGCGGCAAGTGCTTTGCTGAAAATCAATAGAGAATTGATTGTAACATGCTGCTGTCTGTAGTGAAACATAAAGAGCAGGACAGTTCCGGTCTTCACACCACTCACACAAATGAATGTTGTGATTTCGTTACCCTTTTTATCAAGTGCAGTGCCAGAAAATGTAAACGTGGAAAGCAGTTGTGGTCATATTCAAAGCAAAACACAATGTATATCCAGAAAATGGAACTGCAAACCTCAATATCATTTCCATTTCAATACAACGCAGTGCCTTTCTCACTCACACACAGTGCACTGAGGAAATAATTATGCTTTGAAATGTTTTTAGAGTGAGAAAGGCACAATCCCCTAGCTGTAGGGGATACAGATCAAAGAAGACACTTAAATAATGAGTTATAATTATTAAGTCGAACGGTTCAAATCAAACACAAAGATAAGCGTGTTGAAGTTAGCCATTAGCACCGATGCCTCGTCGTGGCGCTTGTCGCAGACTGATAACGGCCAAGTTCCACTATTTGCATGATGAGGAATGGCCTCATTGGGTTTATGGCCCGTATAATGTGGGAGTGGGTATTGTTTAGCCACCTCTCCAACAATAAAGCAGATTTTGGTGGCTCATTTTGGTCTTTATTTACACAGATTTGAAGATATTCTGTAAACTATATATTATTTTCAGCTACATTGCTTTCCGCTAAATTTGCTGTATAATATTGAAATAATGAGTCTCCCAGGCTATGCGCGATCTCTAGGATTCTGTATTACATTTTTATTTGATTAGGCAGCTGCAACAATCCACATCGGCCCTCAAGTTTGTTTTGTGCAAGCGTACAAGATATTATTTCTTTTTCCGAACTGAAATTTGTAAAGGCTGAGATAACCATTGAAGTTACTGAAGCTTAGGGATACAAGGGAAACCATGCTGTGTTATTGCAGTGATTGTATTTTTTAAGAATCCTTTTTCCCTTTGTTGTTGCGCTTGTTTAATTACTATGCGGCGCTCACAGGCTCGCTGTAGGTTTTGGTAGAGTCTATTGACAACTGCAGTTCATTTTTCAGCCTTAGAGGAAATATATAATGTAATGAAGACAGACTTATGTTTCCTATTTGTTCAGCCTTTGGCACCAGCATAGCCCTGTGATTTTCCTGTTCAACTGTGGTTAAATAATAACTGTGAAGCATAATGTTTTCCTCAAGCAGTTACTAACGGACACCTCTCTGTGTTTTGTGGCAGGCATTGATTCTGATGACCTAATGGAAGTCCAGTGCCGTCTCGTGGTGCGTGCACTGCTGCTGCTGGTGCTGGTGTGCGGGCCGGTCACAGGCAGTATCCTGTACAGAGTTCCTGAGGAGCAGCCGCCCAACACCCTGATTGGCAGCCTGGCCGCAGACCAGGGCCTGCCAGATTCAGGACATCTGTACAAACTGGAAGTGGGCACTCCTTATCTGCGGGTGGACGGAAAGACAGGAGATATTTTCACTACAGAGATCCCCATAGATCGAGAAACTCTGAAGGACTGCCGTACTCTGCTCAAAGGGAAGCCATGCTACTTGGAGTTTGAAGTGTCAGTGACTGATCTGATTCAGAACCAGAGCCCAAGACTCATCGAGGGACGCATCGAAGTGCAGGACATCAATGACAACACCCCACAATTTCCCTCTTCTGTGCTCACCATTTCTGTCCCTGAAAACACCGTGATGGGAGCGCTCTTTTCCATCCCTCTTGCCACCGACAGGGACTCGGAGAGAAACGGAGTGGCCGATTATGCGCTGACTGCAGGGCTCGATGCTGCCACTCTATTTGGTTTACAAGTGGCTGAGGACAGAGGAGAGAAGCTCCCACAGCTCATTGTTCTGGGGAACCTGGACCGGGAGCTGAAGGATTCCTATGATCTCACCATTAAAGCTGTGGATGGAGGGAATCCGCAGCGCTACAGCAGTGCCCTGCTCAGAGTGCTGGTGACCGACGCCAACGACAACTCTCCTAAGTTTGAAAAGTCCACTTATGAAGCTGAAGTCTCAGAGAACAGTCCAATGGGCCATTCTGTGCTACAGGTAATGACACACTATACAATTTGTAGACGGATGCACTGTATACTTGCAGGAATACTTCTCTCCACTTTTCACTCCATTCACCTGTTTTTAAAATCAGAATCAAATTTTTTTCCAGGAAGTCAAAAACTAGAAATTTAATTTGCCAATTTTTTTTTTTTTTTAGAAAAAAAAAGAAGAAGAATAAAATAGATCTAAATGCATCCATTAGAAAAACAAAAACAAAACAATATACATTTTAAAGCTGCTACCTAACTTCCAAATATATAATTCAATCCAGCTCAAAACAGTTAGCTTACATTACTAGTTATCCCATTTGGCCTATTTTAGTCATATCTTCAGATCTGTTTTGTCATGTTTCTGTCTGAAAAAACAGAAGACCACCCTCAATCAACTCTGGGCCCAAAGTGTCAAATAGTGACTCGCTGGGCTCAAGTATGTAAATGTTAACATGTTTTGACTGCATGATATGGTCTGATTTGTCCACTTTGCTTTTACATGGGACAAACAACATGCATTATTTATTAAACAAAAAATGTAGGTACACCAGCTTTAATCTAATAAATATTATAGCATTTTACATTAATAAAAAAAAATATGTATTTTCACAAATATTACAACAGATTTAAACCAGCAGAAAATTAGTTCCGGTGGCTAATTTCTTGGGATTTCTTGGATATAAAAAAAGAAATTGCACAACTGCCAACACAGTTCCTTGTTTGGGATGTGTGTGACAGACACACAGAACCCAGCGTGTGGCCTCAGAATACTTAAACTATTCATCAGTATTCTGTTATAGCTAAACCGAGGCCGCAGCTCTTGTTGACTCATGGGTCTGCATTTTAAATGAAGTAATGTGCAGCTCCACGTCTATAATTTTGAGACGGATCTTCTGCTAGAATTATTGAATTAAAGCATAAACTGGTATATGCGTTGCTTATCACTTATACTCTATTATAGTGAGAAATAAAGAGAGACGAATATGCGGTGTAGGAGTGAAATCCTCTTGGGAGGATTTGAGCCGCCCAAATATCTTGCTTGTACTCTGTTTTGAACATTTCCACTATAGCATTTACCACATAAAAGGAAAAAACAGACAGGAATAATACACCTGTTCATAAAAGCCTATTCCCTGCAGACTCTAGATCAGAGATTTATCAATTCTGTAGAAAAATCTGAAAGAGCTCCCACACTTAAGTAACGTTATAAATATAATAAGCGGTACATGTTTTTCATATAATTGAAGGCTAATTTGAGAATCTTGTTCAGTTTTTATGGTTTGAATTTTTCTGGTCATCATTTTCATGACAAAAACATGCACATAAACATGTTTTTTGTCGAATGATAATAATAATAATACATTTTGTCTGTTCCAAAAAAAGGTTATTTTAGAAGTAAGATTTTGTGAAAAAATCAGACCACATTGCGTTCTCATCAGAAAAGAAGAACACTTGTTTACTTATGTACTTGTGTGAGTCACTTTTTGACGCTTTGGACCAAGAGATGATTGGCTGAGTGAGAGTGGTATAATGTAAAAGTGTAAAGTGTAAAAATACATGTGAAAATAGAACTGAATTTTGTACATGAATTTAGCCCATGTTTTACCCTTTCCTGGGGTTTGAAAGTTTGGTAACCCATTTCGCAAAACCTAAAGGCTGTATGCTATATCTATCTTCTTGTTATAATTAATCTAATAATTTTATCTAAAACATAACTGGAATTGTTCTGGCTAACATTGGGATGGATCGGCACAAACATATATAGTACTGTATATCTTAATACTCCTTGACATTCTGTCAAAAACTTGAATACAATTTACACTTTTAATAGAATGAAAAAAACATTTACAGAAGAAAGTACAGAGTTTGGCTGTGTGTATGTTATGTTTGCTCATCTCAGGAGTTGGGAGAGAATGATTCTGAACCATGAAGTTGTCACAAAGACATCTTTGTGCTATATAATTAAAAGCACTTTTAAATAAATAAAGATACAATTGGATTTTCCATGTATTCTATTACTAACATTAGATTGAAAAGGTGAAAGGTTTGATCAATAATTTCTAACTACACACATTCATTCTTTTTTTTAGGTCAAAGCCAACGACTCTGACATGGGCCCCAATGGAGAAATCGAGTACACCCTTCACCAGGCCGTGGAGCCTGTTCCTCGGCTTCTGCGCATTGATCGCTCCAGTGGCGTAATCTATGTCAAAGGTCCACTGGACAGGGAGGAAATCAGCAGCTTGTCTTTCTATGTGGTGGCCAAAGATAAGGGCCCTCAACCTAAGAGTTCTAAGACATTTGTCACCATTGAAGTGACGGACCAGAATGACAACGCTCCAGCTGTAGAAATCCGGGGAATCGGTTTGGTGACTCACAGCAAGGGGATTGCCAATATTTCAGAGGACATGCCGGTTGGTACTGCGGTAGCTTTGGTGCAGGTTTCTGACAAAGATGAGGGAGAGAACGCAGTGGTGACATGTGTGGTGGCAGGAGACGTTCCTTTCCAGTTGCGCCCTGCAAGTGATTCATCAAGTGACAACAAGAGAAAATACTTCCTTCAAACCACCACTCCTCTTGATTTTGAAAGGGTCAGAGAATACAGAGTAGAAATTGTAGCTGTCGACTCTGGAAACCCTGCTTTGTCAAGTACAAATTCCCTCAAAGTCCAAGTTACAGATGTGAATGATAATTCTCCAATATTTTCGCCAACATTGTTTGAAGTAGAGTTTGCTGAAGAGAACCAGCCCGGTGAAAAGGTGTTGGATGTTACAGCCTCAGATGCAGACAGTGGCACTAATGCGGAGCTTGTCTATAACATTTTAGGAGACTCATCCATCAAAGGTCTTTTTGAAATCGATCCCAAAACTGGAGAGGTGAGAGCCAGGAGCCCTCTGGATCGTGAACACAAAGAGAGGTATGAATTTAGAGTGACTGCAGCTGATAAGGGCTCACCTGTTCACAAAGGGACAGCAACAGTTGTTATAAAAGTCCTCGATCGTAATGACAATGACCCCAAGTTCATGCTTAGTGGCTATAGTTTTTCAGTGTTGGAAAACATGCCTCCCCTCAGCCCAGTTGGCATGGTGACTGTCATGGATGCGGACAAAGGTGAAAACGCTCACATCCTCCTTTCGGTGGAGCCAGATGGGGGCAAGTTTATAGTGCAAAATGGAACAGGCACTATCCTCTCCAGCATATCATTTGACAGAGAGAAAGAAAGTAGTTACACATTTAGGCTCAAAGCCATTGACAAAGGAGAGCCCCCTAGGTCTTCATATGTCGGAGTCACAATTAATGTTCTTGATGAAAATGATAATGATCCAGTTGTCACAAAGCCTTCTAACTCCTCTTTTTGCCGTTTGTCACCAATGGCTTCTCCTGATAGTCATGTAGAGATAGTGGAAGCTGAGGATTTGGACAACGGGCCAAATGCAGACTTGGTTTTTAGCATTGCTGGAGGTAATCCTTATCAGTTATTCCGCATCTCCCCCACCAGTGGAGAAATCACTCTAGCAAAAGAGATGACCCGAAAGCACGGTGGACTGCATCGCTTAGTAGTTCGAGTGAGTGACCGGGGAAAGCCATCTCGCCATGCCACTGCACTTGTGCACATCTATGTGAATGAAACCATTTCAAATGTCAGCTTAGTGGAAACCTTGGTCGGACACAGTCTTGACATACCACTGGACAGAGACATTGCTGGTGATCGTGACAATGGGTTTGCCGCACAGCGAAGCAATATTCTGTTTGGAAGTCTGGTTGGCGTGGCTGGGGTTGTCATGCTGATTTTGGCGGTTGTTTTTATTCGTCACCGTATTCAGAGAGAGACTAAGAGTGGCTACCAGGCAGGCAAAAAGGAGACAAAAGACTTGTATGCACCCAAGCAGGTACCCAAAAACACCAAAGGAAAACGAGGCAGAAAGGGGAAGCCCCAGAAGTCTCCTAAACCACTGGGTGAAGACGAAGAAGTCAGTCTTCAAAAGAGTTTAAAGTTCAATCTCGATGGAGTCAATGATAGCCCGAGGATACATCTGCCCCTGACATATTCACCGGGCAGCCCAGATATAGGCCGGCACTACCGCTCCAACTCCCCCCTGCCCTCCATCCAGCTGCAGGCTCAGTCGCCATCGGCCTCGCAGAAGCACCAGGCCGTGCAGGATCTTCCCGCCGCCAACACCTTTGTTGGAACAGGAGGTGATGACAACTCCACTGGCTCAGACCAGTACTCTGATTACAGCTACAAGACAGGCCAACAGAAGTACAACAAGCAGGTAAGACGAGATGCACTCTACAGCAGGCGGACTCACATCAAAGGGTTTCAAACAGTACATCTATTCGGCTGGTAATGTGTTATTTATCTAGGGCTTTATTTCATGCTTCTCTGACTATCCTCTTACCATAGTGCTTGTTCAAGTTTGTAAAACAGAAAGATACCAAAAGTGTAACGAGCATTACATCATGCCTTATCCTAAAACAGTGGTTCTACATTTTCTACTGCACAAAAAAGTAATATAGAAAATAGTTAGTGTGAGTATTTAAAAACCTTATTCAAAGGTTTGAGGACAAAATGACAACATCCGCTGAAAATGAAATGTTGTGAAATACAATTTAAAATTCCTTGAAATTAGCTACACAACTCAAAGACAAATTTAGTCTTACACATTTTTTTTGACTCCATAGTCTGTTGGAGTGTTATTCAATGTTTTTAAACAATAACTTGTAACAATATATATCATTTATATGATTAATGAATTACTTTCTTATTTGAGCCAAAGCTTTTAGACCTGTGTCCTGTGTGTGTTTTTAGAGTTAAAAAAGCGCTTATCCACATGGGGGCGTATAAAGAATACAGAAACATTTTAATGTTAAATGTTGCGTGCATGTGTTTTCTCTACCAAACGTATCACACTTTTGGTAGAGAAAACACATGCACGGACTTTCTGTAGTTGGTGGAGTATGTCCTGATGTATCCGGCGTTGCTGCTAAACCCAGTGTTGGAGGTTTGCATGCTGCTGACCCCTCGTGCTGTGATCTCTGCAGGTCACTCTCTCTTATCTCCCGGCTCCTTCTGCTCTTATCTCCTCTTATCACTACAACATTTGGCAAGGCTCAAATCGCCATGGAAACAGAAATATTTATAGACTCCCGGGGATTATGAACAGGAGAAATTGTAGCGTCTAGGGATCGGGAGGTACTGTGTCTCTAGGTTTCTGTGTCACTCGCAAGTCTGATCACGTGCAGCGCTGACCGCATTAGCTTGTGTAGGATGACTGTGGAAATACCTCCTACATCTTGGCATTCCTAGAAGCAAAGTGGAAATTTGATTTATTTATTTATATATATATATATATATATATGTATATATATATATACATATATATGTATAATTTGAACAGCAATTTATATTGCTGTTCACAATGGAGATTTTTAATTCTCCTTCATGCTGCTGCTCTCTTCCGTCATCACCGTGTGTGGAATAATTGGAACAATATCTGAACTCTGAACATTGTAAAGCGCTTTGGGTGACCTTGGTCTGTAAAATGTGCTATATGAATAAACATTACTTACTTACTTACTTCATAAGTACTGACTTGGTGCATCACATAAAAAGGTCCAATACAGGATTGGCCTTTGGGCTTGAATATTGTGGGTTCGATCTCACCATGAGACCTACTTAACAACTCCCACTGATGTCTGCTGTCGTTGTGTCCTTGGGCAAGACACTTAACTCCACTTTGCCTGAAGCTCCCACTGGAAGCCTAAGCCTTCTGTGGACTCACCACCTGAAGGAGGATCAGTGAGGGGCTGGTGCTAAGTGTACAGGGTGCAGCTCTGACTGCCACCCCCCTGACCCAGAAATGGATTAAGGGGGAAAAAATGAATGGATGGATGGACAGGACAAAGGATTAAAATTAGAATGCTGGTTGATGTTTATTTTATATCTCCATTAACTATTCACTCATCTGTGTAAAAAAAAAGAAAAAATTACAACATCTGAAAATATAAAATACTAGGTACTAAAGGCTGGAATCAACTTTTTAAAATCTTGAATTGAGTACATTTACACTGTCTTTAAACCAGATTTCTAGTCTTATTTAATTTGCCGTTGACTTTTATTTCTAATTTCAAGGGAGAATTTTCTCTTGCTTGTCCCATTGGGAGATCCTATTTTGAAGGGGCTGTATGTACAGTAATGCACCATTAGTGGCTTAATAAAACCATTACAATTACAGTCCGACTTTTGTTGCTGTAGTCTAATATCCACACACACAACTTCTGAGCACTGTTTACTTCTGAAAACCACCTGTTGCAGTTTAGCTATAAACACTAAAAATGCTGGGCATAATGTATGATTACTTATTTAATCATACATAATTCCAGAATAACTCCACTTAAAACTTTTTTTCAGAAAAACTATGTATTTTACACCGTGACCTCCGACCTGGGGACACATACAAATTATGTAGATGTTAATAGCATACTGTTTATTTTAAGACAGTCACAACATACTCAAATTAAGACACATTTTACCTCATTCTAGTTTATTTTTTGTCACTTTTGCAAGGAACACTTTCTCTCCTTTTCGCCAAATGTGTGAACTGCTGCCAGATTTTTCATGCCAAAGCGTTCCAGTCACCAGTGATTATTTCACACTGCTGTTTTCCTGTTGACAATATTGAAGTCAGAAGCAGCCACATGTAGGATTGCCATTGTGTGCATCTATCTTAGTTTTTGACATGCCAGGTATATTCCATACTCATGTCACACTACGCAAAGCAGTCTTCCACCCCCTGCAGATTTGACAGGCAAAGTTTACACCTGAACAATTAGCAGAAATAGAAGTCGTAAAAATACACGGCTGTAAACATGTGTAGATGCTTTTTTTCTTTCAGCAGAGCACACGCAGCGGTTTGAACAGACGCCGCCTGACAGCGAAGGTGATCACAGGCAGAGGTGGGCGGGGTTTATGTGGAGAGCAGTCACCAGTTTCTTTGTGATGGACAATATAAGGGACTGAAATGACTGCGAGCCACAGGGTATGCCTGGATCCCTGTGTGTAGTGCCAATCTAATGTTTGCATGCTTAGAGAAAAATAATTAATTTTAAGCCTGGCCCAGATGTAAGCTCTCAGCCTTTGTGCGAGAACATAAAATCCAAATGAGACACAAGCCGAGTGATTGACAGCCAGCGGAAAAACGCGGCCAGATGTTGGAACTTGTGTAACATACCTCGGCAGATGTTGTCTCATGTATGGCATCCCCTCTCACATCGGGAAGAACAGATTGACCAAAATATATAATTAAATGATCTGCCAAGTGAGGAGACAGATGCAAAGTGGTGCCCCTGCTTTAATTAACTGTTCTATATTCGAACAATGGCTTTTTATTGGCAGTGTGGCGTGGACATTATTGCCGTGCCTATAAAATCATTTTTTACATATGGTTGTGTCCGATTCAAGTAGCTTAAATGGGGTTGGAAACGCTATGATCAAATCTATGGTTATTCTTTAAAACGCTGAGGTTACGTATAGGCTTAATGGTGAAGCCTTTGCATGAATTTGTTGCATGCATGTGTTGGCCTGTCAATGAGTAAGCTATGTTTTTGATAACTTTTTAACATGTTTCTGCTCATGCCATTTTCACAGCGCGGCCTTGTCCATGCAGCAGTGCAGATTAGTTTAAGCCTGTTTTCACCACACAACCTAGTATTATTTAAAGACAAAAAAAAATGTATTGTTGCAGAGAAATTTGGATCATACATTAATAAAGATTGAGGTTTTTTTTCAACTAGATTAGTTAAAAATCGGGGTTGTCAGGTGAAAATCAGAATCTTTTTGTAGTCGTTTAACCTCTTAACACCACCTCATTTTGGCTTTTGCACAAGAGTGAGGCATACCCTCATGTCTTTGCATATTTTATAATACATCTTCCACATCACATGCTTGAAGATGCATCATTTTAAAGCTAGAACTTTCTAGTTTATGTACATATACACTCGAATAATGTATTTCATCCCTATTTCACTCTGCAATATTTTTGTTTTGCTACCTACCTTCCTGTATGATTATGTTGTCGTAGTAATATTAGTTGTATTGATAATGGGAAAAGCATATATAAGCATTTTCTTTGGGCCTTCTCCTTTTGTTACTTGTTTCTTGAATTTTTTTGTACCTAGAATACACTGTAACCTGCTCAAATAACTGCTACTACTTTTTGCAATGAGGACAGAGCTGCTATAGTCTAAGCCAAATGGTTGTTAGAATAGGTCACATACACTCTACTCTTTATGGGTCGCTGATGAGGTGGGGATTGAATTGCTCATAGTCTGTGAAGTGTGCATCTTAGACACATAAAAGAACAACATTGAGTGTGAGCTGTTAGTACATTGTGGATTACAGACATATTTCTATATAATTATGTCAAATTGCGTTCATATCATTTCTTTGTCTTGTTGTGTCTTCTTACCTGAGATTTAATCTTTTTCTCATTTTCTCAAGCCCTTGATGACTAAGTGGTGTTTAATAGCAATATACTCCAATTGATCAGCTTGCCAATGCATTTGGCACCTTCGTCTGAAAATCTATATTTGTTTGTTTCCACCTCATATTGTGGGAATCAATTCAAAAAAGATTATAATCTCCAAGGATGGAAGAAATTGTCTGCTGAATAATAGTTGTTGTCAGACTGCTTTGAATATAAAGTGGTGAATACAGGGCTTTGTTGCAGACATTTTAGACTTTTCAGATATAAGCCGTTTGACTCAAAAGTACAGGTCAATGCTGCAAATCTGATTTGACAAACCTGCTTCTTGCCAATCCTGGAGGAGCATACTTAGACCTTGACTCTTCTCATTGTGTAAGAATGTACCCGAAAATAAATAGCAATAAATACAACTCTGGAGTTCAGAAGTTATTACTGCCGTTGTTTATTTTTGGTGGAGGGGCTTAATCATAGTAAAAAGTGAAGTTACTATGATTAATCACCTGTTAGTGATTATTTTTATATATATTTTTTTATTGTTTGCTATCACATCATGAAGATATGATGACATTTATTTAAAATGTCTTTTTTTGAGTTTGGACTTTATGTCCTTGTAAATCTTCTAAGCAAAATGCACCATGTTTGGACTCTATGGAAGGATTGTTGATGTAGACTGCTAGCCCTAACCCTAAACGTACATTACCAAATGTATTTTGGTTTGGTGTTTAGAATTATTAAACACCATCACTGCTAAATAAACCTCAAGGCACTAAAGCAGCAGTGTTGCAATATGACCTCCTGAATCCAGGACTCTTTCTAAACAGCGACCTGACTTCCCACAAACATGTCCTTACATTTTTCTTACA